GGTACAGTGGTGTTAATCAACAACGGAAGAAACTCCTTGAGGCTCGGTCGACCACTGGCGAGGACACTCGGTATACAGCCTGACGAGATAAAACCAACGACTACCGCCACAGGCACGAAGTTACCCGATCTAGTACCGTACCGAGAGCTGTGTATTCATCTCAGCCAGGTTAGCACAACGGACAACATTCAAGGGGGTCACCCTTCCACTATACTGAGAGCCGTACCGGTGAAAACGGAGAAATACAACGACGGCAGAACCGAGTCGTTTTCACCGCGGCAGTATAAGAGGTTAACCCAGGGCAACATCCCTGAGCTGATAATATCGGTGTTAGATATAAATCATAATCTCGTGAATATAGGATACCTCAGCGTAACGCTGCACATAAAATGACCAGCGCACAAGGTCCCGGAATGAAGTTGAAAAAATGCATCAATGTGGGGATCTCCGATCTCGGGGACACACGCGGATTCGACGACCCCGGAGTAGATGGTAAAGTGTACGCCTTGCAACTTAAAAACAGCATTTACAAACGCGTTGAAGTCCCCTCCGGTGGTACTAGCAACCTAAGTGATATAGTAGATACCACAAGAGCGGCAGTCAACACTAAGTACACCCTTGTCAACACCGGTGATGATAACTGGATAATATACCCATCGTTCGGGGGCAAACTGTTCGACTTAGACGATGTTGAGAGCAACGTGACGGCTATCACCAAAAATAAGCCATATACACTCGTCTTCACCGATGATGACAAGTGGGTGTTATTACCCGATAAAGCCGACTGGTTTCTCAATATTAAGCTCGGCTCCCCCCTACGTGTTCACGGATAACAAAGACAACCACCTAAACAAAGTCGTGAACAACGGAACCCTGCTCGTGGCTTACATCCCGACTCAGAGACGTAGCGTAGTCATCAGCCCACTCGCCAGTATGGCAGCCCACATGCTATCGAGTAAAGCGGGCATGCAAAACGTGGTATTGCAGTTGGTGTCTGAATTCGAAGGCGTGGTCAAGATCCTGGAGAGTCTGCCGGCGAACTCAACACTTATCATCCAAGTCTACCTAGGGGAACCATCGCGGGATGATGTTGAAATCGTGAAGGGGGTCAAACTCCGGTGGGGGAAACAACAACAGTATCACGTTTGCAACGTTTACGTGCGGGTGGGTGCCGACTCCAAAACCAGTCTGCAGGGAGTCAACGTGATCGTGGAAGACACTATATCACTAACCAAGATATTCCTACCCGACAATATACACTTCATGGGGGTGCACTTCACCCCTGAACTATTATCAGAAAACCAGTTGGAAATTATATCGTAATAGTATTATAGCAATGTCTTGGCTTCGACCCAACACTACACTTAGCGATTTAGGGGATACGGAGGGATTCGATCAACCTGGTGAGGAAGGCGCCTTATACATCCTGCACTTGAAAGACAACGTGTATAGGCGGGTGTCGTTATCAGATTTTAAAGAGCCTGAATGGTTAGTCAACTTAACCCTCACCTCACCTTATATCTCCTTGAAACAAAATAATACTATCTCCGGGATTAGGAACAACGGCATGATTATAGGATCGTTCGTTCCGGAATCTAGTGTACAAGTCGTACCAATACCAGACCACTCGGGCAACATGTTAGCTTCCAGTGGGAGTGTAAAGACAGAGATAAAATTACTCGAAGACCAAGAGGTTTTTAGAAATGTCGCGGAAAACTTCACATTCATCATAGACGTCTATCTCGGAGATACCTCGTTTCCTGGGCATCGTCACATTATAGATGATATGTTGATACGGTGGAAAGACAGGGCTAGTAACCAACGTTGCCGTATTATTAAGGTATCGGGAAATAACCCTGTACCAAGTCTTGAGGGGGTTCGTCTCTTTAATGGGCGTAGAGCTAAGACCCCGCTTTTTTACACGTACGCTGATCTAAGTATTATCGGCTTTAAGTACATTAATCGAAGGTTAAATACAACCCAATTAAAATATATTATGGGGTTGAGCTATATCCCTGAACTAGTACCAGAACACTAGTTGGAAACTAGATCGGCTATTAACTGAAACCCAATTAAAATATCTTTTGTAATATATATTATAGGATGGGACTGTACCCAGGCATAGATGAAGTAGCGAAGACCCTGGAAACCGTAGACGGGTTCCGCTTGAGACAATTATGCGATGTAAGACGCCAACTAGAACAAGACCGCGATAAGCGGAAAGCACTATATAAGAAGTACCATAGAGCTTTCAATGCCGTGGACGGGACTGATACTACCCTTATGGCAGCTAGCATGGGTCTAGGGGTGGCAGGTGTTGGGTTGTTAGCTACCATCGTGGCCGCACCTATAGTGATGGGGCTAGAAATAACAGCTGGGGTGACAGGGGTGTTGGGGTTGGGGCTTAAGCTTGTATCCCGCAGACTGCATCGTAAAGCATTGAAGCACGATGAGATCAGGGTTCTGGCCGAAGCAAAGCTGAACACGGTGAGTGAGCGTATTTCCACGGCACTCACTGACAGTAAGATCTCGGAGGAGGAGTTTCGTTCAATCCTCTCTGAACTCACAAAATATGATAAAATGAAACAAGAGATTCGATCCAAGTCTCGTAAGTCTGCTATAAGCGAGGACGAGAAAAAAAAGTACATAGAACAGGGGGTACAAAAAGCCCGGCAAGCCTTTATAACGAACACCAAAGAGATCATAGGCGATTCACATTAAACTGTTTCATCGAGGTCAACGTGACATAGTGTCATAGCCGCACGTAGAGCTATACAACATAGATAAAGTGGATGAACCTACCTTGTATTACTTGAGGTATAGGCCAGGCAGAGGAGTATTGATCGTAGTGTTACCTCCAGACAACAGCACATGATGTGTGGGTGCGCGTGATCTACCCGTTAAATTGACCTACTTCAGTTAAGTCCGCTGTCACGTGATGCGTGGGTGCGCGTGATCTACCCGTTAAACTGACCTACTTCAGCTAAGTCCGCGGTAGCTCAGTCGGTTGAGTGGTGCGACCCCATTATATATAGTCTGCGCAAGCTGTACATGTGGGGTTCGTATCCCACCGTCACAACTTCGTGTGATGTGAGGTTCTCTCATGGTGAGAGACACAATTCCCCTTGGGAGGAAGCGCAATACATTTCTATTTCTCCCTTGGGGAATTGTGGCTGCCGGGGGACATTTTACTAATTTTTCATAGTAGGGGTAATGGTAGCAAGAGCTAAGGGTCCGACCAAAGCCTTATTTGGGAAATAAGGCTTTGCAGAGGCTTTTGTTGGACTTGGTCCAGGACAATCATTACCTCTACTACTCTACGGTAAGAACTGTTTCTGACACTCTTCTAACGCTATATTTGTTTCAAAGCTTATTATGTACAGTGTGTTTCTATGTTACTTTCTCTCCCCCCCCCTCTCTCTCTCTCTCTCTCTCTCTCTCTGTGTATGTGTGAAGAGAGAGTGGGGGAGGGAGAGGGGAGAGAGAGAGAGAGAGAGAGAAACGCTTCTAACGCTATATTTGTTTCAAAGCTTATCATGTACAGTGTGTTTCTATGTTTCTCTCTCTCTCTCTCTCTCTCTCTCTCTCTCTCCCTCCCTCTCTCTTCACACATACATGTATGTGTGAAGAAGGGAGATGAGAGGGGGAGAGAGAGGGAGAAAGAGAGCGCGGAAGAGAGAGAGAAACGCTTCTAACGTTATATTTATTTCAAAGCTTATTATGTACAGTGTGTTTCTATGTTACTCTCTCTCCCCCTCTCTCTTTCTCTCTCTCTCCCTCTCTCTCTGTATGTGTGAAGAGAGAGTGGGTGAGGGAGAGGGGAGAGAGAGAGGGAGAGGAGAGAAAGAGAGCGCGGAAGAGAGAGACAAACGCTTCTAACGTTATATTTATTTCAAAGCTTATTATGTACAGTGTGTTTCTATGTTACTCTCTCTCCCTCTCTCTCTCTCTTCCTCTCTCTCTCTGTGTATGTGTGAAGAGAGAGTGGGTGAGGGAGAGGGGAGAGAGAGAGGGAAAGGAGAGAGAAAGAGAGCGCGAAAGAGAGAGAGAAACGCTTCTAAGGCTATATTTGTTTCAAAGCTTACTATGTACAGTGTGTTGCTATGTTACTCTCTCTCCCTGTGCGCGTGTATGTGGGAGAGAGAGGAGGGAGAGGAGAGAGAGAGAGGAGAGAGAGAGAGAGGGAGGAGAGGGAGAGAGAGGGAGAGAGAGAGAGAGAGGGAGAGAGAGAGAGAGAAGGAGAGAGAGAGGGAGAGAGAGGGAGAGAGATAAAAATCTTTTATGGTCTGCTTAAAGCAGAAATAATTTCTGACTACATCACGAGCCTGTTTATAAATCACCATGAGATTGTGATGACACCCGGTGTTCACAAAACTGTGAGTTTCCTGCTCCACGAGTGGCACCCATACGAACAAAAGCCCAAAACAGAAATCCGGAACGAAAGAGTAGGCACAGCAACAAGGCGGAAAAGTTAGATTGACATTGTTAAATCACGACATGTTATTGTGCTCTTATGTCATTGGGGCACGCAATTAGCCTCGACCCAAAGCCGTTGATTTAGTGCATGCTGCACATTCATATTTATGATCAAGTATATGTTACCTCATGCTTGAAGCTAACGTATTTAACATTAAAACAACGTTATAAGAGGATACTTTTTCTATTTGCTCTACGCAAAATCACTTTTTGTGAAGACAACTATACATTACCAGGAAATATTTTTTTAACTTTTGTAAATAAAATGGCTAAAATATAACATTATTAGTTTAACCCTGCAACACTGTATTATAAGCCGTATTACGACTGAGTTATTACGCTGCTATTAGCTATATTCCAGAAGCATCATGGCAGGGGACCAAGAAATGGGCTTCTCACATTGTACCCATGTGGGGAATCGAACCCGGGTCTCCGGCGTGACGAGCGAACGCTTTAACCACTAGGCTACCCCACCGCTGTTCAGCTGAAGTTAAGGCGAAATATATACATAAGAAACACCTTACCTGTTTTATGTACACTCTCTTGATGCCCAAACTCTCCGTCGCATAGACTTCTGTATAGTTTCGAGGAATTCTGGGTAAAGCAGCTATCATTTATACATCCTTGTCGAGCTGACTCATATGCCATCCATAGCGTAATGGTATAAACCGGGAAGAGAAAAGTGAGACTTGTTCAACTATTTCCTTATTTTCCTTTGAATTGTGTCAACATTTTAAGCTTGAATAACTAACAATAGAGTCACTCCATAACTGTTTTGTTGGGCAAGGGTTGGGTTTTTCGACGACACATATGTTTTTATCAATTGCCAAGTGTTATCAGAAAAAACTGAAATCACGTAGTTCATCGTTAATGCGTTTTGATAAATGTCCAACCTTAGTGTTCTGTAATTTACCAAAGATCCTCTAAAAGACACAAGAGTTGCTGTTTATTGTGCAAGTATGTGTGTATTCATGGTGCAACCCGTAAAGATCCAGGTTAGAATTGGTGTACAGCAACACATGTTTGTCGCAAGAGGTGACTAACGAGATTGGGTGGTAAAACTCGCTGACTTGGTTGGCACATGTCATCGTACCCCTGTGTAGATCGATGCGCATGATGTTGATCACTAGAGTGTCTGGTCCTGACATGGAAAAGTGTTGAGCGCATCGTCCATGTAGCTGGAACAGTGTTGATCGCGACGTTAAACGACAAACAAAACGCGTTCATGGTGCGCATATATGACACGTAAGTGGCGGCTCTTTTGACCTTGACATTTACAACACCACACACGCAGTCGATGAGACTTGGATGTACATGTATGAAAAGAAAGTACAGTGTGGACAGCCTGGGTGTAAATGTATGCTTATTGACATAATACCTGTTGGGTTTGTAATAGGAAAAACATCAATAACAGTCAGTGAAATGTGTAGTATATTTCTACTTCCCGAATGTATGTTTCCTTATGAGCAGTCCGCCCAAGCGTTATTTGTTACTCGACATTTTATTGTTGTGGACCCATATAATTTCTATATGTGTGTTTAGTGTCCTTAATCATCGTGTTCAGTTGGTCTGTTTATGTGATGAATTGGACCTGCCATGTGATCGCACGATCTGTACATGGGTTGAATGGCATTTGTCCCCTGGTAACAAGAATTCTACATGGGTCGAGTGTACTTGTCGACTGATTACACGATCTCTAGATGTGTCGAACGGCACCCATCTCCGGACTACACGATCTCCACATGTGTCGAACGGCACCACGGATTATGTGTCGAACGGCACCTGTCTCCGGACTACACGATTTCCACATGTGTCGAACGGCACCTGTCTCCGGATTACACGATCTCCACATGTGTCGAACGGCACGTGTCCCCTGATTGCACGTTCTCCACATGTGTTGAATGTCCACTGTCCCTGATTAAACGATCTCTACATGTGTTGAATGTCCACTGTCCCGTGATTACACTATCTCTACATGTGTTGAATGTCCACTGTCCCTGATTACACGTTCTCCACATGTGTTGAATGTCCACTGTCCCTGATTACACGATCTCTACATGTGTTGAATGTCCACTGTCCCGTGTTTACACTATCTCTACATGTGTTGAATGTCCACTGTCCCGTGATTACACTATCTCCACATGTGTTGAATGTCCACTGTCCCGTGATTACACTATCTCTACATGTGTTGAATGTCCACTGTCCCTGATTACACGTTCTCCACATGTGTTGAATGTCCACTGTCCCTGATTACACTATCTCTACATCTGTTGAATGTCCACTGTCCCTGATTACACGATCTCTACATGTGTTGAATGTCCCCTGTCCCGTGATTACACGATCTCTACATGTGTTGAATGTTCCCTGTCCCGTGATTACACGATTTCCACATGTGTTGAATGTCCCCTGTTCCGAATTACACGATCTCTACATGTGTTGACTGTCACCTGTCCCGTGATTACACGATCGCTACTTGTGTCGAACGGCACATGTCCTCTGATTACACGATCTTTACATGTGTCGATTGTCACCTGACCCTGATTACACGATCTCCACATGTGTTGAAAAACGCTTGGCACTGTTTACGTGATGTTTTGTCCCTTTCGCCATGATCTCTACCTGAGTTGAATTGTATCCCAACATTTCCAAGAGATCTGCATGATTTATTTGCACCTACATAATACGCTTTCATACACTTTATTAAGTATAAGAGAAACTATTGTACAACTATTGTCAGACTGTAAACGTGACGCATGTGTATGGCTTACACAACAACGGCTTAAGAAAGTAAGCCACCAGTGTAATAATCGATTGTCGGTCCTTGCACATACAATGTCTAAGTTTAAGAACTTCGTGTGTGAGAAACGCTAACACGTACCGAGTTATTCCCCTTACAATGTACGACCCGATTGTACTAGTATTTGAATCTACGACGAAACGAGTTTTTACTTTGTGTTTCATCATCATTTATTCCGTATAGATGTCCATGAGGCCAACGGTACAACACGTGTAAAATGTGGGTGAACATACATACTGCGCCACAAACAAAATTCATTTGAATATTACATATTGCATTTACATTATTTGGGTTTCTTACGATATTTAACGCTTTTAGATTGATCTGATTGATTTTTGGTCCTGGATATATAAAAAGTGTATCCCCATAGTAATCATGTAAATGTAACCCGTGAAGATCCATATTAGAATTAATCTTCAGTAACCCATGCTTGAGGCGACTAACGGGATCGACTGGTCAGGCTCGCTGACTTGGTTGACACATGACATCGTATCCCAATTGCGTAGATTGATGTTCATGCTGTTGATCACTGAATTGTCTGGTCCAGACTCGATATTTTACAGACAGCCGCCATATAGCTGGAATATTGGTGAGTACGGCGTAAAACTAAACTCACACACTCATGTAAATGTAAATGAACGGTATTGTTAAACTATTCCCAGATGATGTTAAGTCGACCCGCTCACGCAAGTTCATACTCTGTGAAAAGGATCATCGACATGAAGTCCAATAATGCTGTTGTATTCATGATACTTCATACAAGTCACAACATGCACAAAATGTAAGAAACATATTTTATTGTAAATATAAAAACACTATATACACGTGTGTTTTATAAACGGTACGTAAATGTTATACATAGGAAATAGAGCTCTAAACTATTCCCCGAAGCCGTGTTCAACAAAACGTCTGTGTGACGAAAGCATTTGCATAGTAAGGAAATGATATAATCAAGTTGTTCTTTGGAAACATTTTCTGCGACTTCATTGAATTTGATCAAATTAGTTTGGCTTTGCAATTATATAATGTACAAGGTACCAGCTACCGAAGATTCGTGTTTTTAACGATATTAATCATATCAAAACTATTATTCTTTTTCAAAATAAACATAAGTTACAATACACAAGGAATACAGCAAAAACGGAATGAGCAACCAATCTTTATGTAACAAAATCCACAGGAACTTCTCATTGATGAGTATTTTCAGCATAGTAAACGATAAAGTAAAAGTCAAATGTGCATAAAACACAAAACATATATTTTGTATAAATATTGTAACATTCCCGTCATTAGGTCAAAGACAAATTAGAATTTATGTTCAAATGTACCTGTAAAATAATTGATGCAGCATATTGTAAATAAAACAAGCAATAAAACACAAAACGATTCACACAAGTACATATACAAGAACACATGTGTGAATTTATTGTTCTGTTGGAAATGTGATAACGTGATGCTGATTATATTTTACGTACCATTAGAATTAAGTTAAAGTGTTGACAGTTTGAAATCAGTGGCTTGGTGAAGTTACTAAAATACCATCTACATAAACGAATCGCATATAATCGGCTGTCGTTCAAGAAATGTTTTTCTGTAAATACATACAATTGGGCCTACAAATAGAATTGGCTGACGCTAATATAAAAAATGTATTCTTGAAGAGAATAGGTTCACTAGATACAAAAGAAATATACGATAAAGTACTTGTGATGTCGGATTTCAATTGTCACAGCAATATCAGTTAAATTTAGTTTCTGGTCATGAACATACCTGCAGTTAGCACGTCGTTTGCATTAAAGTATGAAACAAACACAGGTGAAGTTTATTTAACTATAGCTATTCTTCTGAAATATACATGTATTGGAAATTTTTCATACTACTAGTATTTCTACATCAATGTGTCGTGTAAGCACATCGTACCTCATTCAACTGAAAACTTTTGCTTCTTGTTCATGATTGGAAACTTATGGAACATCCCTCGAGATATTTGACGACAGGACCAAATTCAATGAAGCTGTTGGCCCGTCACTCAACTAACTTTTGGTCAGGCGCAGTATGTTACATAGTGTGAGATGCTGTCAACACAACAACATTGTGTCTTCGAAAGTGATTTGAAGAGATCAGACCTTTTCTTTTCCTCTTCTGCAGATACACGCAGCAATAATGATCCCAATTATCTGAAAAAATAGTTATAAACATTATGATGTTTATTACACACGTGTCCTGAAATATCTCACTGATATAATTTTGGTTTTGTAACATATATTATATTTTGGATTACACTTTCTTTGTAAAGTCCAAATTCTAGCCACCGCGACTTCCACACTTCCTCTTCTCAGAGGGGTACAGAAAAGTCCGCAGTCTAGCTAACAGTTGTCCGACTTTCATTTTTGTGGAAGTCGCAGTGGCTGAGCGGGTTAGGCGACTGACTTTATGTGCTGGCGATTATGTTACATTATACTGTATGTATATACTTACTGTGATGGCAATGATGACAGCCTCAACAATGAGAAGTACAACGCTGTAATCCTTTACCGTTTCCCTCAACAACTGGAAGCAGCCCTGCAATGATCACCGGGTTATTAGCATCGACACTCAAAATACATCACCATCACTCGTGGTGCTGAGCCATATCAGTAAAATAGAACATTATCTTCGAATTCCACCTAGATTCGCCCTACTTAGGGGCTCTAGGTTCAGCAGCGCCATACCCGTGCTCGTTCGCTCCAAAGTGTAAACGCATGAGACATGCATGACTTTGGAATTTCCTTGCAGTTTATGCTCCGTATACTATACTATATACTATACTCAAAGTACTGTGCCAAAATGTCTTAAACTTTATCTCAGACTTGTATGGTACAGATGGTAAGTGTTCCGTAGTGTACCGTTATGTCACTTTCCACTTGTATAATGTGAGTGAGTTTAGTTTTACGCCGCTTTTAGCAATATTCCAGCAATATCACGGGGGGACACCAGATATGGGCTTCACACATTGAACCCATGCGGGTCTTTGGCGTGACGAGCGAACAATGTAACCACTAGCCATCCCACCGCCAGTGTATTGTGTACCTCTATGTCATACACAGTGTTATGTGCATATATATGGGAGCCGTCTACGGCATTTATTTGCTTTAGTTTACATGTAGATACACGTGCATGGTAATTCATGTGGAGTTATGTATACACATTCGCTCATGTGGTACTATCTGTTCTAAATGATGGTGTGTTGTTTTGTGCATAGAGACCAGGGCACAAATCAATTCAGCAACGTTGGTCACCGAGAGTCCGTGGATGGGTGGCCGTGTTGGGCAGCTTGACTCCTGAGAGTTTCTAGGACTTCTGTCCTGCTCCACAACGAAGCACATGTGATCTCATCTTAGGTAAGTGAGTTTGTTCAAACTGCCTCTGTTCACGCTGCAGAATATGGGTACCCGGTAGGATAAATAATATGACTCTTCTCCTTCTAGCGCCTCACAGGCAGCTTGTGTTATCCGGGGTAATAATGTTCATGATGCTGTATTGGACTAGAGCATGCCAGTGCGGCATGAAGTTCAGCGCTATATACGTGGCCTTAATTTTATTGTATGTATATACCTATATGTATGTGTACGTGATATGTACCATCATACATTATAGGTATACGTGTGAACATGTTCTACGTGCATTTTTGCAGGTGTGTGCGTAGCATCAAGTAAGTGCGTCTATTAAAAAAAACAAACAAAAAAACCCCTTGAGATGTCTTACCCTCACGTGAAGATTGTCACTTTTCGTCAGGTCCGGTCTCATTGAGTCTATCATGCAGGCTTGTCTGTTCACTGGCATTGGGTCATCCGGATCTTTCTCTCCTCCCAACTTACAGCAGGTAACTGGTACCTTCTCCTGGAAAAAGCCATAGGAACGAAACATGTTACGTCTGTCGTATGTGCCCGTATCTCATTAGATATTTCAGACCCGTGAAGATCCGAGTTAGAATTGATCTTCAGTAAACCATCCTTGTCGTAAGAGGCGACTAACGGGAACAGGTGGTCAGACTCACTGACTTGGTTGACACATGTCATCATGTCCCAAATGCATAAATCGATGCTTATGATGTTGATCACTGGTCCAGACTTGATTATTTACAGACCGCCGCCATATAGCTGGAATATTGCTGAGTGCGGCATAAAACTAAACTCACTCAACTTATCTTATTTACATATTTTGTTATATCATTACATATTTGAGAAAATAGAATGTTGTACCAAAACGCCGTCACATACACATGACGGCATCTTAAGTATATGAGGCGTTATGGTTGTCACCAAAGGAGGCAAGATAGCTTCAACCTGTACTATCTTACATTGTTATTTCCACAATTTAACATACATGCATTTAAGCAGTTATACAAAACTGAATAAAATGACGTTTTAAATTGTAGTACAATACTGGTTTTGGTATATACATTTGTGAATATTCACGGTACAGGTAGCTCATATAATCAAGCACGTTTTAACGGCTTAACAACAGGTGACACGTGAATAAAATTAGACGAACTGTACTCTTTTAACCATTTAGCAACCTGTTAGAAACTGGATATTTTAGATTGAGACGATCTTTTGTAGACATTATTTATAACGCTCGTGGATATATCACATAGGAATCAACAAAACATAGTAGCCTACACTAGGTATAAATCCCACGTATTTTCAGTGCAAAAGCTCTTCGCTGAATTCAAATAGAATGATTATGATTTAAAAATGTAATCTGCAGTTGTGTTATGACTTTCTAGAACATCTGGTGTGTCATCCTTTTTCATAGTGATTTAAAAAACAAACAAATCAAGCTTAACTGACCCTTACAGTCAAAAGTACTACGAAACGTTTAGTAGTTTTTGTTTGCTTTGCAGATAAAATATTTTCCCTTTTACACTTAACAAGAAGAAGGGGCAAGAACCAGCCACGGAAAGTCGTGAAGGGCCAAGTTAAGACGTGAAGGGACAAGAATTAGCCACAAAAGTCGTTAGAAACAAATATAGACGCATAGATATGTCTTGTATTACTTGGTAATTTGATACAACTATTTTGGGACCGTTCAATCGATATCAACGGGTTATATATTGTTGAAAAAAATACCATGGTGGAAATACTGTCTTGTCAATCGTACAATCCTTTAATATTCAAGCCCTCACATGTTTCAAATCCCAAATCCATCTTTATGTTTTTAGCGTCTTAACTTTGGTATCTCATCGCGCGTTATAGTTGGTGTCTCATTGTTCAAAACTGCATGGTACATGAGCTGTGTAAAACCAGCTTGCCATTAGGCACTTACCATAGTATTATTCACGTAGACAGGAGCATAGTCAGTGTAGTTGGAAACAGCACAGCATTCGAACTGTAAAGGACAAAAGTACGGACTGTAAATACAAGTTTCAAATATATGAGGAAGAGGCACACGACTTCTTTATTGTAAACTTCTACGGAAGAATATTCATGATACATAAATGCAAACAACAATGAAGAAACAAATTAAATGCTTATGTTGCTCATTTACATTATGATTACGTGTACATAATACTGGAGAGTCTATCATGGTTTGTGTCAGAATATGTGACCTGCAACAGATTGATATGTCATTATTTGAAAGAATTTGTTGAGCATGACTTCTACACATGCAGAAATCAGTTTCGTTGCTTCAACATCAACACATTGTTTCTTGTAATTGCAACATAAACAACTGATGATGTGTGTGTGCCTAGGTCAGTATCTCGCTGTAGCAGAAAATACCCCTGACTACTGGGGATGATCTCACCGTTGCCTGAACGTAATCCCAGGGTTGTGTGAACTTGGTTCTTCCGGGTCGGTACTCTTTGGCCAAGGTTTTCCCAATGTAGCCTTGGAAAGCGTCTACGTCATCAGACTGAGAGGAAAGATGATACCTATCAATCTTGGGTCAACGTTTTAGTTTGTCTTTTTGCAATTTATAAACTGAAATGTCACACGCAGACACACACGCATGCTATGCATACATACATACATAATACGTATTTACATACATACATACATACATACATACATACATACATACATACATACATACATACATACATACATACATACATACATACATACATACATACATACATACATACATACATACATACATACATACATACATACATACATACATACATACATGATTTGTACCCACATTTTAAAAGGTATCCATTATCCATTGATAACTATGTTTGAGATCTATATAATCTTTCACACATCCCTAACTAACGTAAAGCAACCACGTGGACTCTACGCAATTGAATTAAATTCATCACGCTATCTCTTATCTAGGATGTTTGCAACACCTACCCGTACAACGAACAAGATAGTCACAACAAATGCTGCTATTTCTCCGATGACGATGATGATGGAAAAGATGATGTACTGAAACATAACACATATACCATTATCATCGGATGAGTGACTGCAAATGGAAGTTATATCATCTCGCCACGCCCAGTTTCATCATCTTGCCATAAGAGCGATAGTACGTGTTTGACGTACCACTTTCTCTTAATATACCCCTCTAATAGCAAGTTACGTGAAAATTATACACCCACAAAGAACTAGTACATGTATTTATTATATTCTTGTAAATCGAAGTTTAATATCCTTATGTCAACCAACGATTGTACCCTAATTAAGAATCTTGCAATGTATATTTATCACGCAATGTCAATCTGTTGATCACTAACTTGAATGTCAACATTTAGAACCTGGTATGATGAAGAGGAAAACATTTTATGGATAGACAACTTCTTTAATCCAATAGATGCGATCTTTCGGTGTAGATCCTACACCGACCGTTATCAAACAAAGTGTTCCTCTTGAATGTCAACATTTGATCGAATTATAACGTGTATATGTAATTACACGTGTATAGTTTTAGGAGCGAATGACGGAATATAGATTTAATTAAAATGATATTTCACGTAGCAAAACAGTCATCAGATGTCCACATGTCTCATTAGTTATTTCCATGTTCATAACACTGGGTAAAAATAAACGAATGCATAATGAATATAAAGGGACTAAACTCTTACTTCGAGACAACATCGGTGTTTGATTGTATTGCATACTCATATAATAATGTGTAAGTTATAACGTTATATTTTATAAATCATTTCAAATGTCCCATACGGTATTCGAACACCACGTGCACAAAAAAGGGAAAATTATGCCACATCTAACATTATTCTTTCTTAATTAGTAAATGTGTAGATGTACAATATTTGCAAACAGTGTTCTTTTCTTCGTACCAATCCCAGCATGCACTTGTTCTTGGAAGCAGCTCCGACACATCCGCAGAAACAGACCAGCAACACCAGGGCACCGAAGCCAATGATGATCCAGGCGCTGTTGGCGAGATACACCGATGTCTCCTGGCCCAGTTCCACCAGGTCCAGCAGCTTGGCAGTTGATGGGTGAACCTTGAGGAAGATTCCGAACCCAACAGTGGCTAAACCGACAATCTGTAACATGAAACACAGAATGTTTGCACGTAGGGAAGAAAATAGACCCATTGAGTACAATGGTCATACGTTGCAACATTCCTGGATTAACATGGAATATGACACCTGACGTAACAAGTACTATGTCGGGAATATCGCACCAGAAGATATGAAACGCCCGTTGTAGTGTCACAGATATCATAATGCTGATACTCCTAGTATGCCCTCATTTCTTCGATGTTAAATAGTTTAATATCAGTAAAGTAATGAAACTGATATTAAAACGTTGTTCTTATCACATCAGAAGCTGATAAGTTTATGATTATTGTACTAAGTCAAAAATTGCAAAGGGTCATGCATGGTTTTGGGGATATGTTTTCGTGAAAACAAAACCCGACGCTGTTGTGTATCTTATGTTTTAATATAAACATCCTCAAGTAAATTGTGAATGGTATTCATGTGAATCTTAGGACAAAGGAGATGGATTCCGTGAAGATGCAGCTTATTCAATACATTGAGTACAACGTTTCGGTCTAAAAACTACAACCGTTATCAAGCAAAGGACCATCAATTTCCAGTATAACAACTTCTAAATTCCGTTTCAAGAAGCTATATTTGAACTTACCGCAAATATGACATTGAAGAAGATGAAGAGACAAGTGAAGGTCTTCCCACAGCAGCCGAACGCCATTTTGGTGAGCTGTAACCAAGGCAAACTTGTAAATAACACATCATATAATACTGCCAAGTATAACGTAAAATGTTTAAAAGCTTTGCAGGGGCGTTGGGGTAGTCGAGTGGTTGAAGCATTCGCTGTTCACGCCGACGACCTGGGTTCGATTCCCTACATGGGTACAATGCGTGAAGCCCATTTCTGGTGTCACCCGCCGTGATGTTGCTGGAATATTGCTAAAAGCGACGTAAAACCAAACTCACTCACTCACTCTATAAATGTATGTCTTGTACACGTAATATGAAACACATGAACGTGTAAAAGTCTTAGATGTTGAGGTGCAGTGGCAACAGAGACGTAGAAAGAGTGACCTAGGTTAAATGAAGAGTTGTTTGCATTTTGATTCATATAGCATTCACACATAAATGTTTCTTAAACTAATTATGTCTACGGGTCAAACATTCAGTGTTTAACCGATAGTCTTTTAAATCTCAAATTCATCCTCATTGAAAACCAAACTGAACAATAATGTTCATCTTTTCTATTGAAACGTACATTTGTGGGATGAAGACCTAATAGCGACCTGAGTCAGAAGCTAGTCACTGCACTTCTTGTAAAGTAAGACAGGCACAATGAAGTTGATAGGGCACGACCACTACCGAACTGGGAGTGAATGTGTTATATACGTTTCGCGCAGTCTTATGAGTTCATCCATAGCCTATTTGGATCGAATTAGGCAAGCTGCACTCGGAATACTCCCCTTCATGCTAATCCTGTATACTTTACGAACCTATTAGTGTCACATCGAATACAATATAGACAGCGTTGTGGTGTTTGTTTGTTGAAATACAGCCTTTTCCTGACGAAATATGCGATAAATATCACTCTTGTGCTCGCTCAAGCAGCTGGTTGCTATAGCAACGCAATAGGGGTATTGCTATTTGGACCTAAGTACCACTTAAGAACATATAACAATACAGTCAAATTATCGCCTACGCCCAAGTCATGAAATGCTTATTCAGCTGAAATTTAGTAACGAGTCTTTTTGCAATGTACAAGGGTGAAAGGTGTAGTGTATGCAACCGTTGTTTAATAAGTTTGAAATGTGTAGGTTCATCCAAAGACGACAGATGCGCACACATAAGTATTTTCCCTGAATTAGATAATAATATATGACTTGAAAATGGCGTGTTACAAAATTCGATAAAAAAAAGAGCACTTGTAAACCAGTGATAGTAAGACTCTTTATTGTTATAGCACCTATAGCGTATAGCATATGCTTAATGTGATAGTACTAATGTGGGGTAGCTAAGTGGCTAAAGCGTTCACTTGTCCCGACGAAGATCCAGGTTTGATTCCCCACATAACCCATTTCTGATATTACTGGAGTATTGCTAAAACGGCTTAAAACTATATACACATGGTTCAATACATAGAAGAATTAGCTGAATTGTTGATGAAGGCGAATTGTAAGGTTAAACTATGAAACTTGTTGCCCACATGAACGCCACAGTGTCTTGTATTGTCTTGTTTCTGAAGGTCTACCCACCTATACCATGTATCTTGTCACCGTGCCACTAATACACATGATACCTTCCTCCTTGTAGTTTTGGTCAGGTAGACCAAACATTAGACGCTACTGCCATTATTGTCATATCAGGGTAGTACCAATTGCTTTAACATCTGTCATAAATAACAATTGTTTTAACATCTGTCATAAACAACAGTGATTTCACAATACGACACTTGAAACACGTGTTCTAGCATGTCATAGTTGTCAATGGTTTCACAATACGGCATTCGAAACACCTGTTTTAATATCTGATACAGATGTCAATGATTTCACAATACGAAATTTGTAACACGTAGTACTTAGCAGTAAGACAGGACTGAAACTTAATAAGGGACATACAAATGGTAAGATGTCGCACGAAGATAATACATCGATAATACCTGTGTACTTAACTGACCGAGTGTTTTTCACCAGCAGTCTTTTGAATCGCGGATAACAGAGCGTCGCAAACCCTCCAGAAACACTGAGTTTACTGATGAAGAAGAGCAAAGGGATATTCTACCTCCTCGCCGCAGTGTGAAAACACAACCAATAGATATTACATCTCATGTACTCAGCACATGCACACAGGCGACTTCCTGGGGCTGTGCTAACTTCTGGATGGTTTGGCAATAAGTGTACCTGAACGAAACTCATTAACAAGAAATCACATACTTATACTCATACTCATATGATATTTTAATCTACAGAGTAAACGGGAGTTTCAAAGCATTAAAAATTACAAGACCAAACTATATATTCATGTCTTTAAGATTCAATGTTCAATTTTGTGTTTACCAGTTTTCGTGTATGTGTATTTGCTTACTAAGTGTGTTTTGTATAATTTGATTACCATAAACGCAAAGTCTATATTTGATTTACACTCGAGGTAGAGTTTAAAGAAGTACGATTGGGAAATCTCAGTGCTATCAGATGATGAATCAGTGAACAGACATATCACTTGAAGCGACTAAACCCATTGCTATTGAAAGAGTCAACTGTACTGTTTCTGCTATGGCACAATCATATGTATGAATCACTAAGTAGTAATGAAACCAGGTTTTCACGATAACGGTTGACACATCCTGCCCCACCCGTGGGACTCGTCACAAACACATGCAACGTGAGTTGCTCTCCTGAAAACACACAGGAACATATGTGGTAAGTGAAAATCCTTGACGGCATGAGAACTCATTTTATGTCATGGATGTTTTAAATCTGGTAGTGCCCTCCACGTATTTTCCACAAGACGTTTTGGAACTTTACTACTGTAATCATAATCAAAGAACTTTGATGTATAAATAATTTGACGCTCTTTGAATATTCGCAGAACGTGTTTCACTGTGCATTAAAGGTTGTGAAATGTGAACATCCAGGATTGGGGCAATATTTGACACGAAGATAAAGTTGACATGCATTCTTTCATCTTTCTCAGTAAAGTTCAAATTATCTGAATCTTAAACGTCCTGGTCAACTTCACAGATGCTGCAAGTCAGTTAACAAGTCCGACTCATACACATGATGAAAGAGATCAACAGGAATTGTGGTAGAATAGGTATCTATGGGTGAGCATAAACAACGTTTTCAAACAAAGTTGTGAACGTTTTAATGCAACATCTGTGTTATATAGATCACAAGCTCTCGCCCCCATGTTAATCTACAGTGTATACAACATTTTCAGTGTATATAAAACCAGGTGATATCAACATCTACAATGCATAAATGTATTAACGAACATTGGTCCATATCGATTTCTTGACGAATATTTGCTAAACATGCTTGGTATATTCAACACACGACAAAACACCTTTACCTAGATATAAAACGACTGTCCGTTCACTAGAACGGCTTATCTACCCGCAAGGCATACACCTATTCAGTCTTTGCCTTTTGTAAATATTGAACTAGTATGATCCATATGTAAATAGGTCACCAGCACGTTCGACTACGAGGGAGGTCAGAGCCTTCAGGTAGAGAAACATGGGCCTAATGTTACCGCTACACTGCATATGCCTCAATTGATATACTGCATGAATAATACGAAAAACACAATTGCGTTAAAAGCGAAATGAAAGTGATATAAAATGGAAAATAATGATAATTAATAATTATAACATAGTACATGATCATAAATTAAAATGAATCCATCACATTGATAGGGGATCTGTTTCGGTCAACATAGAGTGAACTGTACAATGAAGTACAGTTAAATCGTACATGTACAAGATACCTCCTAGTGTGAATCCTCTGTACTTTAAATCGAAATTGGTAAAAAGTAAATATTCTGGAAAGGGGCAGTAAGATATATATATGTATGTGTGTGTATGTGTATGTATATATTGATACAGTACAAACATTTGGGTGAATTTGCCATTATTCTTGTGAATGATATACGCGAACATGCTCATTAATGTTTATTGGTATAAGTTGAAAACAGATATATTACAAATGACCCAATGAGTAATACAGTGTAGAACAAACCATTGTAAATACATGATGGTCTGATATGGTGGAAGATTACGTCCCTGCCAGAAACACCTGTAGAGCGGGGGCTCATGTTATACCTGACAACGCCCTTACGTTACTTGTGTTACACACCCATGTATAATGAGTACATATTGTGCGACGGAACGCGCTCGTGCCTCTCTCGTGTATGCACAATAATGATGTCCCCCAACACACATATCAGAAGCAAGTAAACAGTGTTTGAATACCTAGGTGCGCTGTATCTCAGTACTCCGTCGATGAGTATTGTATATATCTTTCAATTGTGATTTTCCGGCTTAAAGCTGATGGACACATGTGGAATACTTTCATTGCTTTGCCGAAACTTTCAGAACCATTCACACGGCTGGCATTTTGTTGACCAAAGATCACAAACGAAGCATCTCCAATACCTCGGTAAATGGATCAAATTGCATTTGATTTTCTTTGGGACTGTATTACATATAGGTCCCTCCAAGAAGCACAAGGTTAACTATCAAATTACTATCTTATCCAACCGTGTGCCCATTAACCGATGGGTAATCAGACAATATTCTGAAGTTAAATGGCCGAGGAGACACAACATTTGTTACTTCTATATAAAGAACCCGTGAAGATCCGGGTTAGAATTGATCTTCAGTAACCCACGCTTGTCGTAAGAGGCGACTAATGGGATCAGGTGGTCAGGCTCACTGACTTGGTTGACACATGTCATCGTATCCCAAATGCGTAGATCGATGCTCATGCTGTTGATCACTGGATTGTCTTGCCCAGACTCGATTATTTACAGACCATCGCCATATAGCTGGAATATTGTTGAGTGCGGCGTAAACTTACTGACTCACTGTATATAAAGAACAAGCCTTACAAATATCTAAACAGTCTGGAAGCTGAACTGTCTGCTGATCCGTCTTCTCTCCACGACCAATTGCAACGTTGGTTCACTTCACCACAGGTGTGACCCGTGGTCTGTAAACAGGACCAACTGGTT